TAGTAACCCAGCGACTATAAAATGCTAATCATACGCACTGAGGTGGCTCTTCATTCGAGGACACTTGTACTTCTTAAACTGGGCGACGGCGTTGCTGAGAAGTGCTATTATCAGCTCCTGCAGGGGCAGAGACACCAGAGGTATCGTGTTTAATTCAACCTGACAGGAACTAGAAGTAAACACAATTATGAGAATGACACAACAAAGAATCAAAGCTGAATGTTCATGTCTCTGTGTAAAGCATCTTCTGCTCTAGCGGGGATAATGCGTCACATACAGAGCAGCCTATCATTTTCTCTGTACAAACAGGACCTCAGCATACGATGTGCCAACACATTTAGATTCCCGCAACACAAAAACACACAATTTCTACATTTTTCTTGCTGTATTTAAGAATTCTACACCTTTGAGTATCTTCAATAGTACCAAGAAAAGCTGCTGTTGTAGAAAACAAACCAATCACAGATCTTTATAGGGATTGGCGTTTTGAAAAACTCAATAATCGAACCCAAAGTGCGCTTCAACTGATTTCAGACGACCAACTGTACCTTTAGGTAACATTTTCTCATGGATCAACCACTTTTTCCAATAATGTCTGAACCTTTTAAAAGGCTGCACACTGACTTCTGTGGGCGTGTGAAGGATGCGCGATGAAAGGATGTCAGCGCCTCCCTTTTAACGAGCAACATCATCGTATCACTAACAAAAACAAATGATCAGCTCCCAGAACAACAAACTCTACATTTTAAGCTACTTCACAAACCAAGCTGGTCATTTTCAAATGATTTTATCAGCTACCATTACTAAACATCACTGGCATGTTAAAAATAGGCTAGTTTAGCTTCATATGTTAGGCTGAGGGTGTGTGTCATTAATAACAATGATTTTTGTTTAAATAAGCAGGACTAAAGCAGTAAAATATTGCTGTGTGCTCTTACAGAATGTGGTACATCTCTCTCTTTAACCTGCAGAGCTAGAATCCCCGTCTTCTCTTTTTCAGCATCTGGAGGATCAATACCTGGAAGTGAAGTGATACAGACGTAATTACTGAACAAGCTTGACATTAAGGTTCATTTTGGAAGGTTTCAATTAGAAGTAGAGGTACACGCACTGTTGTGCGAATTTGTGAATGAAGCAGTAATGAACATTAACACAGTGAGGCCAGCAGTGTTGTGTATTCCATGTCAACATACTCTGTTGTCCCTGTCTCCAAGGTCTCTGGCCATAGAAATCCAGTCCTGCGCCTTGGGTGTCCAGAGGGTCGGGGGAGGGGTAACTTGCACCAGCCTAGAACAACCGACCAATAAGACGATTAAGCTGAGTTTTATATGTAATATGATCATTAGAAACCTAAAGGAAGTTACGATTCAGTTGCATTTTAAAGCGGCGAGTTGATGCTATCTTTGGTGTTGCTGGTACACTGAGGCATAGTTGCAGTAGCTGTACCACCATCACCTGACAGAGCTGCTGTGCCAGCTGCTTCCTGTCCTGACTGTAGCACGCAGCCTGCTGGTAGTAAAATCCAGGGTTCTGGGTCTGGATTGCAGTCAGTCCCAACTTTATAGCTTCATCAAACAGTTCCCCAAATGACTGGAACCTGAAGGGGCAAAGTCGTACAGACACGATGTATGGATGTGCATTATAAATAAACATGAGTCCTTTGTCGAATTTACTGCGTTCATGTACACTCATTAGAGGACAGGTGTGGGCCTTTTCACTGTGGAGTTTGCATGTTCACAATTAACATATTTTTATTATAAGGTTTGATCACTTCATCTTGTTCCATACAGAGGGTGATGGACATGTGTAATTTCTGTGTGTTCATATCCAATGAGCATATCTCACTGTTTAGACATCCACGCAGAGTGCTCAAAGGCTAGTTCAGCGCTGCCGATCTTCTTCTTACACAGGTCGATGTGCTTTCTGAACTGGGCTATAGCATCTAGAGGAGTGTTATGCTGGAAACACAGGCGGCAGATCTGCAGACACCGAGAACAGGAGAGAAACATAAAGGGAGAAGTGTCACAAAAAGTACCGTTTGGTTTATAGTATAGTTGGGAGC